GGGGGGGGGGGGTTACCTTAAATCGTTGTTTGATGTCATCGAAAACATGGCTACCATTGTAAGTCTAAAGATGAGAAAAAAGGTCTAATTGGAAATAGAAACAAAATTTGAGACATTTTGTAACATACCCTTACCTGCTTTCTTTTTGTTCAGCCCAAGGTATCTACGTGGACAATGGAAACCCATACGACAATGGAACTCTGGAAGTGGTTAATTTAACTCTCAGCCAGCACGATGCCCCACTGCTCACCAAAGGTAGTCTGCTCCTTGCCATTTACACATTACACGTGTATTTAGATTCAGCCTAATATTTATGACAAACAATTCGTGACGACAAATTTAAGGTGTGGCAATGTCTTCCTTTTCAGTCTACTACCCTAAGAAGATCGACACCTATGCTGTCGTGTTTTTCGCGGGTGGTTTGCTGGGTTGGATTCCTGCGGAAAGTTACAGTGACGTGTTAAAACGTGTGGCCAGTCACGGGTTTGTGGTCATCGGAGTGGACTACTTACCCTACACCTTCCCAACTCCACCACCAGAGGTGAGGGTTAGGACTCACACGCAAGAAGGTGTTCAGAGTCACCAGTCCAAGAAATACTTGGAGGAACTACAGTGGGTAGGTTTGAAATGTACATTCTTCAACATTTCATTAGCCTCTACCGAGCTTCGGGAGGCAGCTGGAAAGAGTAGAAATCGGCCAAATAGAGAGATAACATGCCAGGAGAGTTGGTCCGCTAGAAAGTAGTTCGTGGGCCTTCCGAGGCTAACATTTCACTTCTATGGGCTCTTCTGTCCCCTTCTTGAAAAGTAATGACTTACATACCCGTTGAAAAAGCATGTACAGATTTTAAAACCAAGCCAGGGTTTATTAAAGAGGAGTCAACCTTCGTTCACATACAGTTAGCACAACACCTGGAGGCAAGGATAGCTCAGCAGCTTAACCAAACCGGGCTGGTGCCCGACTTCCGCCACCTAGCGGTGAGCTGTCACTCTGCAGGGTGTGACCCTATTGTGGACATGGCCATGGAGAATCAGACATTTTCAAAGGTAAGACATCAAAGTAGTAAAGCTACTGTGGATGTGTACCTTTGCCTGGTTGCAGAATTGAGTATCACCTTTATACTATGTAGCTAATGTTCAAGTCTGTTAATCTCCAAGCAGATCCCAGGGTGGCAAAAAGACAGTATCAAATTGGCCAGGCAGTATCCATTGGCCAGATAGGGTCCATTGGTGGGGTTAGCGACAAAAAGGGCCATATATAAAAAGCTAACAATCTTCCCCTATCAATCTCTGCTTGGAGAGTAGAGTCTGTATTTGTTGTACATTGTACTTGGAATACCTGTTACAGTACACTCAAGATCTTTTTATAATCTGTTGTTACAACTCTTCTACAACAGGCGGCCCTATTTTTGGAACCATTCAGCTATCACTTCAAAACTCCCATGACATACACCATGCCTGCCTTCATACTCGGCACAGAGTTCTCGACAGAACATCCAGCGTGCATCTTTCCTCGCGAGGGATACGACCACTTCTACGACATGTGGCAATGTCCCAAAATCGTGATGAACGTCAAGGTTAGCATAAACATGATATACATGTTCACCTTGACTTTTGTGGTAGAGATTGTACTTTATGACACATGGCACACAACCACTAGAATATAAAGGGATGGTGCAAGTCAGAATGTTTAGAATTGGTTGAATTTATTTTAATTTTCATTGCCCTTTGAACTTCCTCAGGGCCATGGTCACTGTGAAGTTCTGGATGCCTGGTTGTACTCAGGTATGGTATCAGCATTTTTTTTCTTGACAAATATGTGTGCAAAGAACCCTCCTCCAACCTATGTAACTTCTAAGAATGACCAGTAAAGGGTACATAGTACATGTATGGGTCTACACAAGAAAACAGTTATTCAAGCAATTTAACTGGATAGAGTTTTCAAAATCTATCCAGTTGCTTTAGTAACTGTTTTGTTATGAATCATACTACCTGGATGTCTATCCTTCATTGGTTGTACTGAATGTATCTATATTATAGATTTTCTTGAAATATATGATATTAAAGCTTTTTCAGAAGACTCTGTGAACAGAACTTCTGAGGAAAGGCAAAATAAATATAGGACTAACTGTGCCAGTTAAAACAGACATTTCTAAAAAAAAACATGTATATATGATCTCTTCCACAGTGTGTGCCAAGTACCAATTTTGCAAGGCCAACCCGGACGCAGACATCAACAAGTACCACAACTTCATCCAGGGCATCAGTGCAGCCTTCCTCACCACCACTCTACAGGGGTGGGACAAACTACAGTACATCACTAACACTACACTACTGCCTGTACAGCTACTGGAGTTTAAGAAAGACTTGGACTGTTGAAGATAAGGGTGTAAATGTGGGGAAAACAACTACAGTTAAACCTGCCATGGTGACCATCTCTTCAAGCTGGCCACCTGGCCATGGTGACCACTTTTTCTATTTCTCTGTCCCCATTGATGTAAGCATTAAGCAACCTGTCCAAGGTGACCACCTGACTGTGACTGTGAAAACTTAAAAATATCAGTATTGTCTATCATCCTCTCCTGATATGTTCCAAACATGTCTTCTTTAATATTTAGTTAAATCCTTTGTCAGGAACTCCCACAGGAGTATAAGATAGTGATATTCTTAGTTAGATATATGCAGCTGATTTATACATATGCTTTACAACTATATGTGTATGTATAAATCTAACTAAGGTAGATGACATGCATCATGATCATTCTCATACTTTTTGAATTCTGGAACATTGGAAACAAGCACTACTACGAGATTGAAACCAACAGTTTTAAATAATGGCCATGCAAATCTATTATAGGGTGCTCTTTGTCTTGACTTGTCTTGTTCTGGTCAATAAGCTGTCACATCTGTCCAGAAGAACCTGTAATACAGAGAGATTTATCATGTCTTTTATGACTTTAGGCACTTGATAATTGTTTTGAAAGAGGACTTGACTGCTAAGATAGGTTTAGATACCAGTCTACTTCTCCAAAGTACTACAAAGGTCAATGTTTATTCACCTGAATGCTCTGTACCACACTTTTCCTCTTCTTTTTTGCATCACTGTGACTTTCATGAATGATCTGAAAGAAGCAAGATCATCACTACTTTAAGTTCAAATTATATACATTATGTGCAACAAAATGGTGTCTACAATTTTTCACCTTTAATGCTTTGTAATTATAGGGAGTACCTAAGAAGTAATAATTATTGAGAATACATGTATTTAAGCTCCAGGCCTCCCCACGTACACCCTTCCAGCTCAATTAAAATCTGATATGTTTTGGGCAGCTGCCTATAGTTTTGCCAGCATTTGGTGGTCAACATATATAATGCACCACCTTTGTACCATTTATGTTATATAAACTTTAATGTATCACCCATGTGTATGAGTCACTCATGTCTGTACTCCTGAGTAACTATGGTTACAATCTGGTGTGTGATACCATTCAGCAAGCAAAGTGTTCACCCAGAAAACATGTCTTATCTACCTATGGTATCAGCAAACAACAAGGGTCAGAAGACAGGGCAATTAGGGTAACATGGGCAAAGTCTAACAGCCATTGCTCAAGCAGAATGGATAAATCAGTAATGTATAGCAGACCAGAGCTCTGGTGCTTTCATTTTATCATCATGTACTGATAGAGCGCATACAGTTCAGGTGTTCCGAGTAAAAACAGTTCTTTTTTGATTGTTTCACTTTACAAATAACTTCAGCTCACACAAATGATACATGTGTCACATTTGTGTACCTTCTAGATATGCAAAATAACCCGATGTCAAGCTGAACGGAGAAGAACAGAAATAATGCAGGGTTCTTACTGTTGAGTCGAGTCTTTCCAACATCTTCATCAGTTCTTCTGTTGACAGTCCTATTCTCTTCTCCAGCTTGGGTAATGCCTCAGTTATTAAAGGTTCCTCCAGGAATCCCTACATGGAAAGATGGATATTGGACTTGAAACATACATTTGTACATTTAATTTGTCATTTTTGCACTTTCTGGATGGTCCTATGACTGAATGATCATTCTTTATTGTATATCTTCACACGAGAAAAGAAAAGAAAAAGCTCTTAACCATACCTTCTCCATTCCTTCCAGTTCCTCAGACATCCCTGTAAGTTTCTTCTCCACAGCTTCTTGAGCCTTGTCCACTTCCTCAAGACTCTTCAACTCTGCTTCTTCCTCAGGGTTGTGCTGGACAGTGTTACAAAGGAGGAGGGAGATCTTTTAACATTCCATTGATAATACAGACTACAGTATATATTGCGACTATATCACCTACATGGTGATAGTCATGGCACACAGTGTTAAAGGATTTACGAAAAAAACAATTATGTTGGAAGGAAAGACAATAATTGTCTGAATCCTACATTTGCTTGGATTACACATACATGTGCATGTATAAGGTTATATATTTCCAACCACTTGAAGTGATTGGCATTCTATTTTCCACTGACCTTTTTCCCAATCATCATGACCTTGACACCATCCTTGAGACCCATCTCCTCAAGTGTCTTCTGAGGATCCTTTAAGGACTTACCTAGAACATGAGAAAACATACATCTGTTAGGTAACAGCACATGTAAAGAATTCTTAAGTGACTATGGAGTATTGTGTTTTTATGTAACTGATCATTGCAATCGCAGGGAATACTTCATCTGAGCTCTTTCCATAATCCATTCTCTCTAACTATTCAAAGCATTACAGTAAAAAAAAGTTACATCACATCTAAAACCAAAGTCACCAGACCTTTATAAATAAGTCTCTGGTTCTGTACAGGTACCCCTGTCACCCTCCATGCAGCCAGAGCCAGATGTTCTACACGGACAACTTGGTTTTCTTCATCTTCAGGTACACAAACATCGACAGTGTGCTTCTGGGAGCCTGATGGTGACAAAAACATGGGGGTTGGATAGATGATTTTTGGTCAATTCTATTGCTTTTAAGACATAATGCTGTGAGTCACCTGTATATTGAATGAAGGCACCTGCTACAAGGTATACATTATCAGATGTATAATGTATTTGTAGAGATAAAGATTCATCATAGCATAGAGAGCAATACTATATGTCATGTCTGTCATCAATTTGAACCAAGGAGCTTAACACTAAATACTATATTTAACCTCCTTGGTTGAACACAAAAATTTGTACAAAAATGATGTAACTGAACATGTAATTGATAACGTTAGCTGGAGATTATTGCATCTTTTTCAGGATTGACATTTGAGCAAAATAGCATTGCAAGAAGCCAGATTTATGACTCGATACCAGCATCACCAGCCGTCATATCGTGACATTATGTTACATTTGCTGTGTTATAGCTTTTTCATGTTGTCAAATCTCAGGCACCTGACAAGTTTAAACGCCCCCCTCCCCACATCGTGATAAAACTGGTCGCTCTCCTGCCAAACATGCTGAGGGAAGCACACGCTCTATAAATTTATGAAACAACAGGTCAACAGTAATATCATTTGAGGAGAAATATGTCATATGGTTTAACGTCAGATTCAGAATGTTGCATTTCATACCGTGAACGATCAAAAGCTTCATGGAGGCGGCCATTTTGAATATTTTCCTTGTGCAGAGTGCTTGAAACAGCGCCCCAAGCGGAATTTATCCTAAGTGTAGAATCAATCAATACCGCATGTTCGTGACCAAATGGTGTATGGTAATATACCTGAGTACAACTTCTACAACTATTCAATAGCAACGTTTAAACAATTAAAAGATGGAGCGATCTATGTGGATTCGGAATTCATTACCTTATTCCAAAACAGGCCCTGCTCCAAGGCATTTCAGACACGTAACGCGTTACGTAACGAGAATGGATGTATTACCATTCGGCGTTGTGCTCATCATATGACAAAGTTATGAAATTATAATCGATTATCTGATGAGATTACACTTGGAAATCACCTTCTTTTCATTCATCTTCTGAAAGACCACTGTAAAACTAATATCGGATACACAGTGACGTGATTAGAAAGCCAGTGTTAGATGTGTATCAAATATAAGAGTAACAACTAAACATATACAAATATAATATATGCATTTGAGATATCATTTCTCAGCTGTCGTGTGCCATAAAATGAGCCACATGATATGGTAACGAGTGAATCTCTTAAGCTTGGAAAAAACGTCTACGTACATAGCAATCCATCAGAAGCTCGTAGAATATAATACTATGCCGGGTTGTCATTAATTACAGTTTAATTGATAATTTGATTGCATTATAGAGTCATGTATATGGGCTAGTGCTGTGCGCAAGTCCATGTCAATGAAATTACAGCTAGAAAGTCAAAACGATTAAATAAGTGTGCAGTGGCCATGGACCCAATTGTATAGTCGACTAGTTCGCAGTCTGGATCATATTCTGCATTGCATGAATCGGTGACAATAGTGGTTAGCTTATACGGTAAGCTCGTTTACGGTATTATGGATGTAATTATCTAATGTCATGGAATTATCTAATTGAATAATCAAGTCATAAATCATAATCACAGTGTCCTCTCGTTAGGACCATGTAGGTAAATTTTCTGACGAGAAAAAATAACGTTATAAAGTGAAAACACTAGTACATCAGATTAAACATGTTTTGATGTCAATATCAGCACCAAGGACAGATGCCAAACTAGTCCCACTACAACAGGACCCAGCTGTACTGTTAGCGATACAGCCTGTCGTTTATACGGACGCAGAAAAGTGCACGTGTTGTGCACATGTGTCATTATACAATTGTGTACTGCAGATTTCAGTCGGGATTGTACGCCACACACCGGGCAGCAGCCGTCAGTAATAAGCGCATGATCGCTCCCTCTCAGCGGGGTTCACCTCCAAGAAAATTAGCTCCTGACCCGACCGCGTTCCACTCTCGTCTCTCCATACATTTTCATACCTCATTTTCCACCATCACACATGTGACTTCCCTACCCAGAGTGTAATTTGATGAAGCCGCGTCCTTGCCTCATAAATATATACGTTTTCGATCGAGAGTCACTCAGACAGAGGTAGGTACGGCTGCCGGAGGGAACGATCATATTCTCCTGCACGTCTTATTCTTCTGACTGCCTGGCGCGGGGACGTTATTTACGGCAGAGATCGATCCTACATGTTAATGCTATCCGGCTCCATCTTCACTAGCCTTGGTGCTGATGAGTGTATCGACCCGCTAGTGGAGTAAGGCGAGGAGGCGAGGCTTCTATGGGAGCACAGGGCTGCCTGCCCCCGCGGATGGGGCGCCCGTACCCCTATCTCTGTCAGCAGGTACGTCTACCATATTCCTACTGATCTCACGTATTTACAAACATAGCCTGATATGATTTGAAGTCTCCTTCGCGTTATTCTACGTTGTGAGGTAGAGCGTGTGGAAGATAGGGTACGCTGTAATATAATGGCTTTCTGAGGAGAGGCATTATAGCCGTAATATGTTGAAGCGTGTCTAACCAACCAAGTGGAAAATGGAATCGCTGTAACTGCGATGTCCAAGCGTGATAGCTTTATAAATTCAACACAAACCTTTAAAGTTAAAGAGGAAAGAGGATTTTTCTTTGTTTGAGGGTAAAGTCGTGGTGTCATTGAACATGTGGGGGTGTACGCATGCGCAGACAGGCCCAGGTGCAGCGGGCGTGGATGGGCGGTCACGGTTAATTGTCTCGAACCGGAGTTTGTATTTTCAGAGGAAATTGATGACGCGACGCTAATGCAGAGTAGTTTATCACGAAATTGCAAATGGCGGAACACAAGCGTCTCTGGGGGAAATAAACGTCTGAATTTGTCAAGGACGACCGACGGAGATGACATTGGGGAGGGGAAGGGGTGATTTTAGATGGCTGATTTGTAGTCGTGGTTTAAGTAAGAAAAATGCATAACTCATCACATGCACGTTTCAAAACAATTACTAGTACGCGAAACGAATATAACCAAAATCATGCATGATCTAGCATAGTGTAGGGTTTAGGTTGTATATTACAGAGCAACCAAATATCGGCACTATAGTTATATATATATTATATGAATGAATGAATGAATGAATGAATGACTGGTTTATTAGGTAAAACATTGCAGCCCGTCAGGCTGAAATACGTTCTACTTACATAGTACATGAAAGTACGTTTCATCACTTACATAGGACACAACTCAATATGACGAATAGCATAAAATATTACATAGTATTAAAATGTCGATTAGAATAAAATATTACAATAACAAAACATTATATACAGCTGTGACGTGTGGCATCACTTTCAAGTCAATTCAATTGTAGTATTATGCCGTGTGTACCGAAGAGGACCATTGAATAGTACAATCGTCGAGCCATTTTCAATATAGAAATATATAATAATGTGCCGAGGTAAAAATTGAGCTAGTCTACATGAAAGTCTGGATAACGCTATATTTCTTTAAAAATATTATATTCCTAATAGTTGAATCAGAAGCGTCTGTATGAAAGTTAGCTGTGCCGACCTTCTCCTAACTACATGTAAAAATTCCTTGGGCGTAGATTAACCACAATGAAATTGACATATATTTATCTTGATTAGAATAAGATTGAGAGAAATGCGATTACGTCTGTAACAAAAGACGTGAAACTGCCAATATAGCTGATGGTGCCCGCAGTCCGACAATAAAGAGAGGTACTGTTAGTTCTGATTGGTGATGGATCATTCAGCGGCCATGGTTAAACGGGTTCAAATATTGTGGAGAATTTCATCTGTAATCACCACTGGCATGTTATAAAATAAAACTCTCTCCGTACAGATTCAAGAGGAGCTAAAACATAAAAGCAGCTTATGACATATTTATTGTTATTCTGAGAGTCATTATAATCTGAAATAATGAAATAAAAGGGAAGGGCCCAGATTTAAGAAGAGAAGGCAAAAATGAAGTTGCAGTAGTATACCTTTCTCCCTTGACCCAGTTTTGAATTCCCCTAATCATTGTATAAATGTATGTACGTAATTTACGAAAAAGGGGGATTTTGCAAAAGACCAAATATACTAGTACTTTGTCCATGTGGTCAAAAACTAAGACTATCTACAATGGTCTTGTATCGATTGCTGTTGGTGTAATGGTCTGTAAAACACATGACGTATCAGTGTAATAAAAACATCGTCGGTAAAAGTGGGTCAATCTGCTTTCAGAACAGGTAGATACAGTATACGAAAGGACATAAAAGGTTCCAAGAGCCTTTATCGTTTCTTATTACTCACCAACACCAACGGACCATGTAAAATTCATTACCGAAGGAACTAGTGCTGGCAGGAGTGATGCAGAAAGAGAGAAAATGTTATGACATTTTGGTAGAATTTAATGATGTTTAAAATACACACAATTCATATTTGACTTAATAACAGCATTTCCATTCAGCAAACCATAAATCTATATTGTCCTTGACCTCTTGTACCAGAGAAAAAGCCAAGCAAATGACATGCATTTCAATGATTTATCATCAGCGAGACCTGAAGAAAGGGAAATGTCGTGAACTCTGTACTTCTTCCACTGATTACAGCGCATTAGACGATACCTTGGGCCTCAGACTGGGCGTCGCCTGTCTTCACAGTAAAATGGTGAATGTGGATACAGAAGAAAATTAAATGTCTGCCTTTGAGAATTGAATCGGTGATCGTCAATTTGGCCCAGGAGGGATTTCGAAAGGACTGTAATCGGATCATGTGGGCATTATGTTTTTTTATGACTTCCGCAAAGTTTGGCAGTGATTTCTAATGGCGAAACCGTGTTTGTAATGGTTTATTCAAGCAAAATTAGCTAGGGACAGACAAGGAAAGATATCTAGGTGATTCTTGCAAATTGAGACTTTTAAAGTCCATCATTTCTTTTTATCATCATCTACTTCAATAAAAATCCTCGTAAAATGTAGTTTAAAAACCTTTATATGTCCTCCGTCAATTACACTGCAGTGTCTCTCAATACACATCTCTAGCATTAACAGAACATATACATTCCAAAACGTTTTGAGATCTTTTGTCGCTTTGGTTGCTCTCGAATAGACTTATATATAGTATAGACTGGTCTATTTGCAACACCATACCATTGCAGCCTTACATGGCTGAATTGGAGCATGAGACATTAAAATTCATCATGAATGGTTCAACAACTCGACAATACAGGGTAAAACACTATTCTTAAACCTAGAAGCTTAACTGCGTGAAGTTGTCCTTTGTTCGTAGTTCTCTGTCATATAGGCTTCCACTTTCCAAAGCCTATTGTAGCTAGATTCATATGGCAAACAAACATTAAGACCACCATATAGCTCGTGTGATTTCATTAACCCGTTTCCCGCCGCCTATATGGCCCCAGTTTCACCGACTTTTGCGAAATAATCAAATTTGGGGTTGATAACGGTGTGCAACACATTAGCATGTACTAATTTACATGGCAGGAGGGTGATATAGATGTAGATACCAATATATAAGGATAAGAAACGTGGGAAAGTAACACAGGCAGCTTGTATACGGTATAAACAAGGCAAGAAGAAGACCAGACATGGGGCCATTCTTAAAGGTAAGACATGAAATGTCTTCCTTTTATATTTTATCGTAATTAGCATTCTCATACGTTTAT